CTGGAGGAGATCAGCAGCACTGAGATGTCATTGAGTAAATAAAATGTAGCCATGTGTTGTTACCTTGTATTTATTGTTCCAGTCATATGAAGATCAAAGGTTTGACCTTTGATCTGTATATCGCATCAGTTATACCTTAGAAGTATAAACATTGAATAAAATATATTCCTGTAAAACCTTTTATTATCTACTCTTAATACTGTATTATTTTTCAGATTTGTTTCCTTTTTTTTATCATAAATATTTCCTTTTTGGGTTTTTTTTGCACACAACTGTCACGCTTTGTACCAAAAACAGAATTTTAGGGGTTCATTTATAAAAGTTCCACCCAAAGTATAGCCAGGTGGACACTGCGCACGGAACTAGCGCCCCTACATGGCCCTGATGAGTAGATGTCTATCAAGGTTTTCAGTCATCCAGGTCATGGTATATCTGTACAAAATAAGTCAAGGCAACTGGACTTGCTGTATTTTTCTTGAAGACGTTTCACTGGACATCCGACCACCTTTTTTTTATTTGTGTATCACTCGACTGTAGATCCTCAAATCATCTCTGAATTGGTGCTGACACTGTTCTTCCTTCTGGAGGGGGGCTCCTTCTGTTCCCCATGGTCCCTGTGTGTGTTGTAAAGTAGTCACCGCTCCAAGCTCACTCCCGGGATGGACTACAATCCCAATACAAATTAGTAAACTAAACGTGAGATTGTAGTTCATCCCGGGACCGAGCTTGGAGCGGTGACTACTTTACAACACACACAGGGACCATGGGGAACAAAAGTAGCCCCCCTCCAGAAGGAAGGACAGTGCCGGCACCAATCCAGAGATGATTGGAGGATCTACAGCCGAGTGATACACAAATAAGATACATTGTTGTTAATAAAGTGACATTAAACCCTCCATTATTTCCCATTCTAATTCTGCTTTAAGGCGTTACCTTAAGTGATGCCTCTTGATTCGAACATCTTCTTCCTTCCAGTAGTTTTCAGCAGTCCCTCCAGCGCTGGTGCTGGTCTGTCATCCAGGTGAAGTGGTTAAAAAAAAAATGTAAAAACAATTTAGTTGGGCAAAATATTTTTTTGAGCTATTGGCAAGTTAAGCGACGGAAACTGATGCTGCTAAATTTGGTCCGGGCATGTAGGTTTCAACAATCTCTGGTCATGGAGGGGTTAATTACCTGACGAGGAAACAAACGCCCGGCAAACACAGTATTGACTTAAAGTCGGTTTTGTTTTGGAAATTTTGAACGATTCTATGCTAAAGTTCAGACACTCAATGGGACTTTCCGCGATGGTTTGATCTGACTGACAGAGGACAGAAAAAAAGACAACTGAGCCTATTCTGCTGCTTCCATTCAGCGGTACCGGGACTTCCCTGGGTTTGTCCCTCACACAGGGAAGAGGGCTGGTGTCCACAATATCAGAAGTTTCCCCACACCTCACCCTATATATATATATATATATATATATATATATATATTGTTTAAAAAAACACTGCAAGAGTTAACTTTTCAAAATCCTGGAGTTCCCCTTCAAGGTACATTTTAGGTTCGGCACAGACTGAATGGGCTCTTAGATTTTCAGACCACAGGACAATACACTGTATATAGACACGTATTTTTAATTAACCCATAATGTAGGGCATTCAATCAATAGAATCATCCAAATAATGAATGACCTTCTGGTAACCCAGAACCTCAGACAAAATCCACTCTAGAGCCTGAGCCAAAAGTATCAAAAAGGTTAGGACTATCCTTGGAACCAAAGGTTAACTTTGTGGCAAAGCAGTATGCATCTTTCCACTTAATGCCATGCCATTGCCAGCTGCACCACATCCACCCGGCTCAGTCATGCTATGGTCTTGATAGGACACGTGGTTATGGGATGTGCCCGAAAACAGTTGACACAAATATGCAACAATCTACATTGACTATAGTTACATACAGTGTAGTTAAAATGATTACAGATCTGTGCCTTCCCCAGAAAATGTATCGGTCTGCCCAATTTGTCGTGTTGCTGACTCGACCCTAGGTTACTCGAGCATCTAGAAGTGCTAGGGATGGCCGTCAGGTCAGCCAAAGGGCACCAGGTGGTAGTATGTGCAAGAGACTGACATGTCGCACACACCGGGGATTTCAGGCTGGCAAAATGCCTGCAAAAAAGCTCCATGTCAATACTACTCCAGTTTGTGACTACCTTAAACTGAGCCCAAATGGCTGCCGCTTTAGCCGAAAAAGATCTATGATAATCATAGAATGGTGATCTCCCCATACTTATGTGCCAAATCCCCCCTTCTATGAGGGCTGGTGGAATATAAAACATCTCTGTACAGACTGAAAGCCAGGACGAATTCCGCCAAGGAAAGCTTGCGACTAAGCCTAGGGCCCTTAGTCTTGAGCACTACCGACACATCCCCGCAAGCGAAAGCCTTGTTCTGTGCCATATCATGAGCAGTAATTAATAAAGATGCCAAATTGACATCCTTCCATTCTAAAATGTCCTTTTTAATGTTGGGGGAACAAAATAAACCGGTGCAACTGAAGGTACGCCACCTCCCTGAGCGGGATTTGCTGTAGCCAACAGGCTAGGTGTAATACCTGAAACAGCTACTGGAGCCGCCGAAGCCCCTGCAGGCCCCGCTACCTGGGGGTGTCAGGACACTTCTCGATCACCTCCATCCTGGTTTGTAAGTCCTGAATGGATGAGGTGAGGTTATTCAAGACCGCATGGATCTGAACCAAGGACGTGTTGAGAGAAGCGTATTCTGAGCTTGTAGAAGGTCTGGCTTGTGCCGAGCTAGGAAAAAGTAACTTGAAGAGCTCCGCCTTCCTGGCTTTAGTCGAGAAAGGGATGCCTCTCCTCAACAGCTCTGCCGTAAGTTTTGGCACTGTCCATGTCCCGATGGATGGGATGCTGCCCTGTTCAGAACCTATAGCTGGGGATGGAGGAATGGATGAAAATTCCTCAATATCCGAAGGCTGAGACATGATAACTGAAAGTAACCAACAAAAACAAGTTATGGCCCATGACTAATAATCACTGTTGTGGCTGATAACTAACCATGGAAGAACCCCCCCAACCCTACCAAGTAATAACGTGAAAACATAATGCCAACGAGGCCGAAACGTATGTTTGTCATTTCCACTGACGTAAGAATGTAAGCGAGCCCGAGTTTAGACCTGAGACGTGACAGGTTAATTACAAAACGAGCACTCGGGGCTTACGTACCTACAGTCGTGGCAGGTAAAATATAATACGAGTAAGATTTGTGGAAAACAGACCGAATGACGTATGATTCCTGGTGAGAACTTGCACCGTAACAATGTATACGTACATACACAAATTTTTTTTTTAAACGTCGTGAGCTAAGCAATGTGTAAATGGCAAACCTAAATAAGAATGTACTGCATGTGACTGATGTGTATATGTACTTGGCCTACCTGAAGATAATTAAATATTGCATAATCTCTTGATAGCCACCAAAAAATATAATGCAGTCTGACAGTAGTGGTGCCCCGTGACCTGTGTGAACCGTACGCTAATACCACCACCGCATGATCCCTTGATAAACAGCTAATAACATTACATACAACATGGCCAAGGATTTCCTATACACTATACAATGATAATGACCATGATTACCAGATGAGGCAATTCTAAGCAATTACAGCCAGATCATGTACATTAAAACAGTGACCCCCTAGCATCGACTGCCCGTAGCTGTGATTTTTTAGATGGGGAAGTGGCGGAGCCCGCCTTCCCGCACTTACCCTGCCTCGATGCGCCGGCTGACAACCTGAAGGCGCGAGGACCCAGCGACCCGGAGGCGAAAGCACTGCACAACGAAATGCCCAAAACCCGTAGGACGTACTAGCAAGGTGAACCGTGCAGTCTTTAAGGGCCAGTCTTTTCCCACAAATTCAGGCCAGCCCATGGCCAGCCTTCCTTCGCATCACCTTTCAACATCTCGTGGAGTCTCGTGGCCCAACGAAGTACTGATGGGGTGGTCATAATAATCTGGCCACTCAGTGTATATATATACATATATGCATTCAGAGGCAATCATGTGTCTTGTATTCAAGCAACATATATACAGTAAGTGATTGGCCTTAAAGACAAGCGGTGCCCTGTCAAAACGTCGACCAATAAATGTATTAATGTTGCTTCAATACAAGACCCAGAGGTGTAACTAGGAACTTCAGGGCCCCGGTGCAAGAAACCATGAAGGGCCCACCCACACCGGGGAAAAGCTGCGGAGAGTTGGCCTGCTGCATGCTGGAAGCTGAAGTGGTTAACTGGGCCCTCTTCCTCCTGTCCGGGCCCCCCAAGTCACGGCACTACCAGAGTTGCAGCTGTGACTGGGCCCTGCCGTTCCACCACCTGGGGGGGGGGGCGATTAACTGCCAAGGTGCCGACATTGCCTCATTGCCTCCTGGGACTACAGCTCCCAACAGGCAGGCGCTCTGCAGCTCTTTCCCATGGTGGTTGACATGGGGGTATGTGTGGTAGTACACAGGTGTGTTTTGCATGGGGGGGATATCATTAGGGGGGTTATACACAGACAGTAGTCTACTGCTTGCTAGCCGTACATATATATGCAAAAAACTGGAGGGTTTAGAAACCCTTTAAGGGAAATAAAGAAGTAAATATTATACATATGTTAGCCACTTTGTTTCCATGTGTTAGATAGATTGTTATAGATGTGTTATAGATTGTCTTGCTTATCAACATACTGCAAAGAGCATAAACATGAACATGTACACGCCTCCAGGAAACAAGAAGTACTTTATTCTGTCACTTTTGAAACAAGCTTGTCAAAGAAGGTCAGGAATCAAAAACATGGGTCACCTGGTGGAAAAAAAAATGTTTAAAAAAAACCCCCACACCTCGCTGCTTTTCTAGAGAGCTATTTAACTGCTGCGTCTTCCGCCACTTCATCATAACAATGGAGATCACCGGCTTGAGAGACAGACTGAGCTGCTCGATCTGCCTGAACATTTTTAACATGCCGGTGACATTGAGATGTGGACACAACTTCTGCCAGGCGTGCATCGCTCACGCACTGGAGACACAGGAGGTGTCTGGCGTATACTCCTGTCCGGAGTGCAGAGAGAAGCTTCTCGGCCGTCCAGGGCTGCAAGTCAACAGCAACCTTCAAAACATAGTGGAGAAGCTCTACTCCAAGCAGCCTTTAATGGAGGAATTCACAATCCACTGCACATACTGTGTGGATTCTCCTAGAGCTGCCGTGAAAACGTGTCTGGACTGCGAAAGTTCTTTTTGCAATGACCACCTGAAGGTCCACGGCAATTCAGATGGACACAAAATAATCAATCCCACCGCCTCCCTAGAGGATCAGAAATGCTCTGTCCACAAAGCAAAACTGATGTTTTATTGCTACGAGGATGCACAATGCATCTGCATCGACTGCTGCCTTGCTAAACACATGGAACATGATGTAAGGCCGATTGATGAGGCATCTGAGGCGAAGAAGGGAAAGCTGAGAAGGCTTTTGAATGTGCTGGCCTCTAAGGAAGAGGCTACTGATCATAAAATCTGGAATTTTCAGGAGAACATGAGAGAAAGACAAGAGAAAGACATTGAATTGGCGGAGAAGGCAACCGCTCTGTTTAGAAACATTAGGAGACATCTGGAAGTTCTGGAGAAAAAAGTCCTGACTGAGATCTTCAGTGGGGGTGACGAGTTTTCCCAGCATGTCTCTGGTGTGATCAAGTCTCTGGCATTAAAGAAGAATGAGTTGTCCAAGAAGATGCGGCACATCGAGGAGCTATGCAACATGACCAATCCAATAACGTTCCTGCAGGATCAGAAGTCGGATAGAGAGGAGTTTTGTGTCCCTGAGGAATGGGATAAGAGTTACCTAAATGGTGACAGTAACCGGCTTCTTAACACCAGAAATGTGGATGAGGGTCTGATCTCAGAGACCATCCACTCAGGACTATGTGACATTGTGAGCGATCTTTCCACAAAGGTCTCTCTCCACGAAGCTTCGGACATTCTCCTGGATGTAAACACAGCGGCAGCTAACATAACTGTATCACAGGACATGAAAACAGTTACGCTGTCCCACACGGACCAGTATTATCCAGAATCACCAGAAAGATTTGAGGACGGTCAAATTTTAACCTGCAGGAATTTCTCCTCGGGACGGCACTACTGGGAAGTGGAGACCAGTGACCTCGGAGACTGGATGATGGGACTGGCGTATGCCTCTATAGACAGACATGGGGAACATTCGTGGCTAGGAGAAAACGCCAAGTCCTGGTGTTTAACCAGATATCAGAACCGGTACTCCGTGATACATAACGGTCAGGAGTTGCCCATACCGCACCAGTGCCTGTGCAAGAGATTCAGGATCTATCTGGATTACGAAGCTGGACGGTTGTCTTTTTATGAACTTGGTGACCCAATCAGACACTTGCACACATTTGCCGCCATCTTTACAGAGCCCCTCCATGCTGCCTTTGGTGTACTAGAGGACAAAGATGACTGCTGGGTGAGAATCACAAGTTAGGACTTTTGGAATGACTGTGTGCAAAACAAATAGCTGCACAGGGGCCCTCTTGGACATAATAATGGACTATGTTTTACTAGATATGGGTCAGATGGGTGTTGGGATCCCTCCTGCTGTCCTGTAGACCTTGACACTTCGCTTCTGTCCATCTGTCAATACAAGGTGAATGTTTTTAATTGGCCAGTAGTAGAATGGGGATGGGGAGGTGAAAACTGGTCTTGTAAGGGGTTCCCTGCCACTGAGCACTGTATATAACTTGTATTTGTTGCACTTGCACCTTAACCAATCAAATAATATCTTTCATTATTAGCCTTTGCTGGTGGACCTGCAAGGATGTCCCCCTGGCCAGCTATTATGGGCGAAATTAAGACCACATGTTGAGGGGTCACCCCAGCCAATGGTGTTTAGGTATGGCTGAAGCACCCACTGGCCTTTAATATGTCATAGGGACATCTGCAGACAAACAAGTGAGTCTCATTTTATCAGCTGAGAATTGTAAAATACATACAAAACCTGTGTGATGTCACCTCATAATGTGCAGTGAGGGGGGCAAGCTGGGAACTCAGGCATAGAGACCTCTCCCTAAGGGCGATTTATTCAGCTGGCCTTTACCCAAAATTAAAATGTCAACCAACAGATAGGGGGCTTTCAAATGGGCAAAAACATATTTAGAATGGCTGACAGAACTGAGATTATGACAAAATGTTATATATATATATATATATATATTTATATTGTGAAATAAAATGTCAAAAATGTAATTGACATTGTTATATAACTGAGACTACTTTCTGCAGAACTTGCCTTGGAATGTAATATTGCAGCTCCCTTGGCCTGGGGCATATCTGGGCACATTGCGTGGAAAATAAAGATTTATTTGCAGCTATTTTTGCTTACTGATTTGCATTTTTATTTAGGTCCTTGAGCTGTCAGTGTTCCTGGTATCCAAAGGTGAAAAATGCCGGCCTACTTTGCTATAAAGTTCATCTTTTATCTGCACACTCAGTTCCGCAATTGTAAGCAACCATCCCGCTTTTCAGATCAAAGAAAATTCTATCCCTGGCAGTGTGTTTTGAAACCAATTAACTGAGAAGGGTTCTATTCAGTGTTTTCACACAAGATTCACACAACCTTCTCCCTGGATTCAAACGTTTTTGCAATTGAATCCAATTAGAAAAATGTGTGTGATTCTTCGGTGAAAGGTATGTAAACCGTGTATAAAATAATTTATAGATAGAGCTCACCTTAACTTGGACTGGTATACCATCAGATGCGCTCTTATCACCACATTTACATATGAGTGCAATCCTTCTGTTTCTATCCATTGTGACATACAGTATTGCATGTCCAGGGTCCCTGGTCGCTTTCTTTTTGTTCACTTTTCCAGAATCATCGTCTGCCTGGATCGATCTCCACACCACGTTTTAAAGCTTTTACAGAGGGAAGCTGCTACATACTTTGTATCCATCAAACATTTACACTGTTTCTACTGTTTCAGCAGGGACACAGACAGATTTTGGCTTTAGATATATGTTAAAGTGCACTACGGAAAATCAGGACCAATATTCTGTTCCTGCGCCCAGGCAAGAACAGAAAACTGTTTAAGGGCAGGTTCACACCATTTTCTGGACCAAATCTGATCCGGAAAATAGTGTTAACCTGCCGCAGTTCCAGTGCATTCCAGACCAGACACAATGAGAGTTGCAGTAGTTTTCCGGTCTGATCTGGAACAGACTGCGCTGGTGTGAAGAGAGGAGAGAAATAGCATAGGGGTACATTAGGATGCACTTTGAGTCCAGGAACAATCTGGTCTGTTCTGGAGATGATCTGGATGTGGTGTGAATGAGCCCTTAAGGAATAAATAACAAGGAAATTAATAGTATAAAGGTTTATGGGGTGATATGGACAGAGCAGGGGAGTAAAATGGATTTGTAAGAGGTGATGGAGACATGGGGAGATGGAGTGATAAGGACAGCGCGGGGGAGTAAAATCAATTATACTCCTCTGTTCAATTATACTGCTCTGTGCTCATCATCACCCTATGTCCCCATGCTCTGTTCCCATCACCTCTTACAAATCCATTTTACTCCCCTGCTCTGTCCTTATCACCCTATGTCCCCATACTCTGTTCCCATCACCCCTTAAAAATCAATTTTACTCCCTTGCTCTGTCCTTATCACCCTATGTCCCCATACTCTGTTCCCATCACCCCCCAAAAAAAAATATTTTTAAGGGGTGATTGGACCAGAGTATAGGAACATGAGGTTATAGGGACAGAGAAGGGGAGAACATTAGATTTTTAAGGGGGTAATGGGGGACAGAGCAGATATCATTTGAAGATAGGAACAGAGCAAAGAGAAGTAAAAGGGATATTTATGGGGTGATGTGGATAGAGCAGGTTATGGCAGATATACTCCCAATGCGTTAGCATTGACGTTCCTCTTGCGATCCAGATCAGTGCATTTGTACTTATATATCTTTGCCAAACATCATAACATTCCCTGAATTTAAGTGCTAACTACACGTATACCAATGAGGGGATACATCAGGTTATGGCAGAAAATTCCCCCAATTACATATTTAGTTAATTCCCAGGTCTCCTTCATCCCCAAGTCTCCCTTGCATCTCTCGGCACTTTTTAGCTCTGCGTGCGGGGTATAGAGGAAGGAGTCATGTGAGGGTCAAAGGTGTGATGCTTCATTGGCTGGTGCACTGAGTTTTCTGCTGGCTTTAAGCAGCATTAGCTGACAGCCAATTGCTGACTGGGAACACCGTGCATCTGCCAATAAGCGAGGCAATCAGCATTGGAGCCACCCTCAACTCCTCCCCTCCTGGAAACCAGCCAATACGCAGCGGCGCTGCATGTGTGTCCACTGGTCGCCCCTATGGTAAACTGAGGCGATCAGTACTGCAGCCACTCTAAACTCCCCCCAAACCTGGGAACCAACCAATAAGCGGCAGAGGTGCGCGTGAGTGACATGGTAATGTGAGGCAATCAGCACTGCATCCAAATTCCAAAGCACACGCCCACCTCTTACCCCCGCTGGGCATCAGGTCCGGCCCCTCGCAGCTGCAACCGAGCCGAGTGCCTCACATGCCTCACCCTTCCTACATCCCTGCGTAAAATACAGGACGGTCACCAAACTTTGGATCCATCTTGTACACACTGCAAACATGAAATAACACAGAATTCTAAAAGAGAGTAACTGAAATAATTACATTTAATGAAATACAAATGGCATTAAATGCCTTAAACCCCAATATAGTAAAACATACCCCAATATCAGAATTCATATCTCCTGGTCCCTCCAATAAATTGATATAATTGTAAAAGTGAAATAAAACAATACAAAGTGAACCTGTCCTCCCCAAAAAAATGTTCAAGGTAACCAGAGAGCTAAAGTGCTGGATCTTGTGGTGCACACAAGTACCTGTCTTAGGCTTCAGATCAATCCCTGTGTCCCTATGGAGACCCTTTGGAGACCTTGGTCCAGACTCTATATGAGCACCCGACTTCTGCCGAAGATTAAGCTCCGCCCCTGCTTATGTCAAACCTGTAATGTATGAGCAGCTGGTTTGGCATACTCCCTGTAACATCTCATTACCTGTTTATCCTCCCAATAGCTCTCTTAGTTTTCCACTTCCTGTTAGAGAGTGACAACTCTGTGGATAGGGTAGTCTTAGATGGACATGTATTTTAAAGAGAATTTCAGTATGAAACAAAAGACAATTAAAGCCCACCTCCAGCTAACACTTTTAGAGCTCACGCACACAGGCGGCTGAACCAACGTAAACCCCAGCGTATTTCCTCTGCCAGAGAGCCATAGGTGCTGAGTAGAGCCTCCCATAGAAGTCCATGGCAGTATGCAGCTGTGCACAAGTATACACCAGGCTTGGGTAAATGCACATGCATACAGACACACAACCCTGAACACAGATTAAGTGCTGTGCGTCTGTACGCATGCGCATATTTAAAGAATTCACTGTCTCAGCGCTAAAAGCTTCAGACCATCTCCTGCAGAATATTTTAATCCTTATCGACTCAGGGGCAGCTCATCACAGAGATTAGGGATTCTCTTCAGCGCATGCAAAAGAACAAAAAACAGAGCACCGCCTCCATGTGTAGAATCATTTATAAAGGATACACAAACGTTTAAAATATACTCACAAGTGTACGTGGAAAAAACTTCTGTTTGGCACTTTATCAAGCTATCACAACAGAATTTTTAAAAGGGAATTTCCCTTTGTAGCTAAAAACGCCAAGCGTCGGTTTTTGCTTCAAAGGGAAATTCCCTCTTAAAAATTCCATTGTGATAGCTTGATAAAGTGCCAAACAGCGTTTTTTCCACGTACACTTGTGAGTATATTTTAAACGTTTGTGTATCCTTTATAAATGATTCTACACATGGAGGCGGCGCTCGGTTTTCTGTTCTTTTGCATGCGTGTATTTCAGTTTACGTCCGGCATATACCTGCATACAGCCAATGACTTCTATTAGAGGCTGTACACAGAATGTTTAGTTCCCTGGCAGGGGAAATACCTTGGAATTTATGTTGTACAGGTTCAGCCGCCTGTGTGCATGAGCCCTTAACATTTATTACCTGTTGATCTGTTCATTTTCCACTTCCTGTAAGAGAATGACAACTCTATGGACAGGGTAGTCTTAAATGGACATATAGTTTAAAGAGACCTTCAGTATGAGACAATAGAGCCCAACTCCAGCTAACACTTTTAGAACTCATGCATACAGGCGGCTGAACCAACGTATACTCCAGCGTATTTCCTGTGCAAGAGAGCCATAGGTGCTGCATAGAGCCTCCCATAGAAGTCAATGGCAGTATGCAGCTGTGCACGGGTATACACCAGACTTATGTAAATGCACATGCATACAGAAGCACAACCCTGAACACAGATTGTATGTGTAAGGCCTCATTCACACGAGAAAAGGCCGGCACATACAGCTCCGTGCTGCGTTCAGGGCCGTATCGGGCAACTCCCGGGAAGGACAGGTGCTGCGTGTGATTAGTACGCAGCCCCTGTTCTTCTCAACGGGAGTATGTGGCCGTACGCCGCCCTGCGCTCACCCCAAGGGCAGGTCCGTACAGGTGCGGGTGTCCCGGCTTGGATGCAGACAGGATCCATCCTGTCAACGTACGAATACGGACACCCGCACGCACATGCAGGGCGGGTGAGCATAGGGCGGTGTACGGCCACATACTCCCATAGAGAAGGACAGGGGCTGCGTACTAATCACACGTAGCACGCTGTGTTATTGCTGGTGACAGACAGCGTCATATATGTCATTTTTTATTTTGCCCGTATTTAGACTTAAAGGCACGGCTCATACCTGCATGGGCCATTCGCATTAAGTATTTTTTGGATTGTAGAATACATTTTTTTAAGAAAAAGCCATCAGTGATTAAATGCATGGCCGGTAAGGAAATTATTTTTCTATCATGTATCATATTTGTTAACTTGTATCTGTGTATTTACAAAACCTGGAGAAGGCATCTCATCAGGTTCTCAGTGGTTCCTCTGAACGCTAATCCAAAGTGGTTCCAGTTATTCAAAGAGTGGAAGAGTTGGTACAGCCTCAGCCGGACCTCGTATCCAGAAGCCTGGGGAACTTTCCTGTGATAGGCCGAGTAAAACTGAGTGCACTGAGCCCCAAATATCTCCCCGATAGACAAGTCGCACTCCGAATGGCCGTAAAAAGAGCCTGGGTCAAAGAGAATTGGTCCGTTCTCATCTTCTGCAGTGTTGCCTTCCCATAAATCTCCATGTAGAAGGGACGGGACAATTACAGTGTCTTTAAAAGCATTCTGAACTTTCACCTGAAGAGAAAAAAAAATTATAACTCAAAAACAAGAAAGGAGAATCCTAATGAGAGGCAGAGGTATAATACTAAGGGTGAGGCAAAGAGACATTGGAAGGAGCAGAGTCCTCCAGCAGAGCAGAGTATTTCAGGAGAGGGGAGTTATAGAGGAAGGAGCAGAGTCCTCCAGCAGAGCAGAGTATATCAGGAGAGGAGAGTTATAGAGGAAGGAGCAGAGTCCTCCAGCAGAGCAGAGTATTTCAGGAGAGGAGAGTTATAGAGGAAGGAGTAGAGTCCTCCAGCATAGCAGATTATTCAGGCAATGAGAGTTATAGAAGAAGGAGCAGAGTCCACCAGCAGACTAGAGTATTTCAGAAGAGAAGAGATAGATAGAGGAAGGAGCAGAGTCCTCCAGCAGAGCAGAGTATTTCAGGAGAGGAGAGTTATAGAGGAAGGAGCAGAGGAAGGAGCAGAGACCTCCAGCAGTGCAGAGTATTTCAGGGGAGGAGAGTTATAGAAGAAAGAGTAGAGTCCTCCAGCAGACCAGAGTATTTCAGAAGAGAAGAGTCAGCCACCTCCTTATTTTTATCTTTTGTACAAACAGACCTGCAGCTCTGACCAAAGTCCCAGGACCGTCCGGTCACCATAGTTCTTCTCGATTAATCTGACCTGAGGTTGCAGACGCTGAGAGGTGAAAAAAGTTCCCCAGTCCTCCTGCCAATCATTGACCTGAAGATACGCCAACAATAGAAAGGGGTTGAAAGCAAACAAGAAACAATGAAGGGAATTTGTCAAAACTGGAGCAGACAAAATCTGGAGCAGCTGTACATGGCAACCAATCAGCTTCTCTCTTTCATTTTCAAATCTTAACATAACAAACTGAAGAGAGAAGCTGATTGGTTGCCATGCACAGCTGTGCCAGATTTTGTCTGCTCCAGCGTTGGTAAATTGCCCCCAATGTGATTTAAAATGTCTTCATAATAGACACGTGCAGGGCAAAAAAAATAGTTTCGGACGACAAACAAATGAAAATGAAAAACATTTTCATTCGTTTCGTCAATGGAAACAAATTTTAATGCTGTTTCAGATTCGGAGGCAACGAACCTCCGAATCCGAAACCTCACAAAGAAACTGCAGAACAAGTGGCGGGCGTAACAAGGTTCCCCCCACTGAATGTTCTATGGCACGGTAACTCCTCTGACCTGGGGAATGTATCCACAACAGGTGGTGGTATGAAAGCCGAACAGCTCCACTGGCTGAAGGTCTGCAGAACATTTCCCTGATGGAGAAAAACAAAGAGGAATTAAAACTGGAAATGGGCTTTAAAAGGAATTGTTTTTTTGTATTCAGTATAAAAAGAAAGAAGGGTAACTTTTGCACAGCAATATGGAAGGAAAGAATGATGTCACATCAAGAACGCTGTTGATAGGTTACAGCCCAATGTAGCAGAGACGAAGTCCCTCCCAAAAATCGCGCTATGTATCGCGACAAAATGTGCACTTCGCTCAATATTGCGCAATGTAGCTCAATGCCGCTCAGCACACAATCGTGCGGAAAAACGCGCAATTCTCCATTTCGCTCAGTGTGAATAGGGTCGTATCCATTTTCACACAGGACAAAACGGTATCCAATTTCAAGCCATCGCAGTGCTGATACATGTTCTCCCTTAGTAAGCCCTGATGAAGGGGGTATTTCTATGAACCCCCGAAATGCAATGGCTATCTCAGGCTGGGTTCACACCTAGGCGTATCGTTTTGCGTCGTGCGTTTTTACCACCAAACGCGCGTTTCCGAGGGCTACCTGGCTGTATCGCAATGGATACGCGCGGCAATTACGCCCCAAAGAAGCTCCTGTACTTCTTTGGGCATAGGGCGTTTTGTAGCGCGTTCATACGGCCTGTAATACGCCCAGGTGTGAACCATACCCATAGGAAATAATGGGATTTCGGTGTTTGAGCGTTTTGCAGAGTGTAGGAACGCGCTACAAAACGCCCAGGTGTGAACCAGGCCTAGACTATTAAAAAGGAATGTGGTGCTTTATTTTACAATCCTGCAATTGGGCATAGTTTGCAGTTACTGGTTATGCAGTGGTGAACCGTGTATCTGAAGACCTCACATTTGGCAGAAGTTTCTCTAAGCATTGGAAAAGGAAAGGTGTTGCTTTATTGACGCGTTCTTACCAATTGTCCCTCTCCGTTTCTGTGCCGTCTTCAACAATATCTGGTTGTGAAGGTGCATGTCAGCCAGCTGCTCCCCCAGTTTATCAGCAAATCTAAGAGATAAAGAGGAAAAACATCATCAACTTAAAGCATCTGCAGCACATACATACCTTACATTATTCACTGGCCTCTATGCTTCTCTATGCAATGCTGACAGATCATGGTAATAAGGTAAAGAGGAGCTCAGGTTTGGTCCGAATCCCTAGTACCAATATTACTCAGCACGGGTACCTGAAGCTTTGAAGAGGAGGCAGCCTATTAGATATTAATATCCAAATAGCAGCAGGTTGGTCAATAAAAAAAATGAAATAGATGGTAAGTGACCACACTGGTGATATGATTGGACGATGCAATGCTTACTGGCTTATCTGTCGCATCTCAATGTGTTTCATAATGAGGAGGGCCCCGCCTGCTGGGAGATCGGCTACTGCAATGGGTTCCGGCACTCGCACGGTGCATGTTTTCCGGATCTCTTCCAAGCTGGCAACTTCCCCATTAAACATAGTCCTGGCCTGAAAAGTTCAAAGCAGAAAAATTACAGAGATTTCTTTGTACTGTAGTATTTACATACCTAAACATACTATACTATGGGGGTCCATACTATGGGGATCCATCCTCCATATCCGATTTTTAATGTTATTTTATGAAAGATTGAACAGGAGGGGTGAGACATTGTGGTAGGACACTACAGAGCTAAAAAAAACTATGGCCGGGAGATCTCTTCTCATGAGATATAAGATGCAGAGGGGATCAGACTCATCTCTAACACTACAGAGCTAGAAAACTATGCCGGGGATCTCTTCTCATGAGATATAAGATGGAGAGGGTATCAGACTCATCTCTAACACTATAGAGCTAGAAACTATGCCCGGGAGCAGTGGCGGAACTATCGCCATAGCGACCCAGGCGGCTGCTATGGGGCCTGGGGCACAAGGGGGCCCGGCCAGGACGAGGAACAAAGGGGTCTCCCTGATGCAGTGTGGGCTGCCTGGGTCGCTGTGGCATCTCAGGCTGCTGTGAGGAGGAACGCGCCACTGTTCAGATCACGGACAATCTGTTAGTGATCTGTGCAGCGGTGTGTTCCTCCTCACAGCCGCTGCTGAGTCAGTGACAACCAACAGCCGTGGAGGAGGAGGCAGTGGCGGAACTACCGCCGGTGCAGGCGGTGCGGGCGCCCAGGGCCTCAGGCTCTCGGGGGGCCCAGCAAGTTGCCGGCCGCCGGATCGTTATCCAGCGCGCGGCGGGCCCCTGGTCTCTCCGCCGGGAGTGTCGGATCATCCGTTCATCCGACACTCCCGGCCAGTGTTGTAGCGAGGGGGGGGGGGGGGGGACCGCTGACCTGCGGCATCAGACGCGGCTCTGTATTCGGCCGCTCCTCTAGTGGTTCCTCTGCAGGCCCCTGCGGTCTGTCCTCTACAATGCCTGTTTAGAAGGCTGCGTCTGCCTGATCCAGCTAGTATGCGATTCGGGCTGGCTGGATCAGGCAGAAGCGGCCCTCTAAACAGGCACTGTAGAGGACAGACCGCAGGGGCCTGCAGAGGACCCACTAGAGGTCACCTGATTACAGAGCCGCGTCTGATGCGTGCGGGCGGGCTGAGATGGCAGATGGAGAGGGACAGAAAAAAAGAGTACAGGAGGGGGACCCGGGTGCAGATGGCAGAGGTATGGAGCAGCTGCGGCCACAACAGACCCCCACAACCAGGAAGCCCCCACGGACCGCCAGGCTAAGGTAAGGTGACATTTTTAACATATAAAAAACTTTTTTTTTTTTTTTTTTAATAAAACATCCCCATGATCCGATCCACCGACAAGCGCAGTGTTCCTCCTCTCACGCTGTCAGAATATGCATACAGAGCGTGTCGGTTACTATTTAAAACCGGCGCGCTGTGTGCAGCTTCTGAGAAGATACGCTATTAGCGTAGCGGAAGCGATGCAAAATGCGCAGCCGCCTTCCCCGCTATGCTAATAGCGTATCTTCTCAGAAGCTGCACACAGCGCGCCGGTTTTAAATAGTAACCGACACGCTCTGTATGCATATTCTGACAGCGTGAGAGACGGGAGTCTGCGCTTGTTGGTCGTTCCAGGGATCAGGTGAGTATTAAAGGGTTATTAGATATATGCAAAAAGTTTTTTTTTTTTAAACAAAACGTTTTAACAGCGGTTTAAACTTACCCCGTCTTCGCCGCGCGCTCCTGTCTGAAAACCCGAAACTGCTCGGGCGGCCACAAAGCATCTTGGGGCGGGCGCATGCGCAGTTCGGATTTTCGGGCGGGAGACGAGGAGAGACGCAAGGTAAGTATACGGACGCATGCACCTGCATGCAGACACTGTGGGACAGGAAGTGCCAGCAATGACAGAGGAGTCAGCGCTGGATCGGAGACCCGCCGCACCGCTGGAGGGACAGATGAAAACATCAGGAAAGAAGATCGGATTAAGAGACATCAGTGAAGGTAAGTGCTAACATTAACATTGGGTGGAGAGATAAAAATTTTTTACTTTAATGTCACTTTAACCACTTCCAGGCCGCAGTACGTCTATAGACGGTGGCCCGCAGAAGTGGTTAAAACAAGAACACGGCTGCTCTTGGTACCGATTTTAACAGCAGGCGATTGCTGTATGACTTACAAGCAATCGCCTGCTGAGGACTACAAATCTCAGCAGTACTTTATACAGAAATGCTATTGTCATATAAAGTATTGCTGGGATGTGTAGTCCTCTATAGCCTGTGCCATTCTGCATTGCTGTAAATATTAGGGCTGCACCATATATTGGCCGCCAAAACATATTGGCCGAAAAT